TTCTTCCTGATTCTTTCCATGTTTGCCATCGCAAATCTCTTTGACCTCTTTCGATGTGGATTCTGTTGGAGTCTTGGCGGAGTGGAGGTTGCTGGCTTCGTGCTTGGAGTTGCTGAGCTCAGCACAGATTGGTCAAAGCACAGATTGCTTGAGATGGATTCACCACAAGGGCACAATGGGCATAGTCATCAGAGTCATCATGGGCTTTCATGAGTGACTTCGACCAAGCGTTCCAAGACCTAATCAGAAGTCTCTGCATTTCCAAAGAGAGAAAAAACGCAGCGAGACGAAGCTCGTAATCTGTGCGGTGTGAGCCGTAACCTTCAGACGAAGATGCTCAGGTCTTGGCGGGACCAGCTCCTGGGCCTTACATGGCACATGTGAGAGATGTCTGGGCCGCCCAAAACGCCCAAGGGGAAGATGCTGTGGACCAGCGCCAGGTCCGATGCCAGGTCCCTGTTGGTTGGGAATCCCTGCTGTTCTTTTCGTGCAGGTGGGCAGGTGGGTAGAAACTACGCTGGCAGGTAGTACATCGCTAGAGTTCTAGAGTTCCCCTGGAATGCCACCAAACATAAGCTTGCAGGGGCAAATCAGCTGCAAAACACTTGACCCCATTTATGAACTTGGATGGCTTGGACACCACAACTAGAAGAGCAATTCTAGGTGAGAGCCCACACCTCTTCTTGGCACTTCCATTTTCACTGGTCAGTCAGCATTTTGTCAACCGATCCTTCTCCGCGTTCAAAACGGAAGAGCACCAAGCGATTCCCATGATCTCTTGAGGCTGATTTGCGTGAAGAGACCAATGGCACATATGTCCAGACAAGGTGGCTGTGCTTTTGCTTCCAGGGATGCTACCGTACCTTCAGATTCATCACTAGTGAAGTTCGAGTTGACTTGGCCACAGCTAGACTCAGCTAGACTTGGCAAAAGGCTCCAAGGGAAGCTCTCGACGTCAAAGTTGCCTTCACACTGTCTCTGCCAGGGCGACACGTCCGGAGCAGTCATCTGACCTGTGAGGATAGTCGACGAAGTTGATCTTTTCCACAAGCTGCCTCACGTAGAAGATTTCTCTTGAGCAGCCAAAGAATACCAGCATGCCAGAGTTCCAAAAGTGGGGATTCGTGTGCCACCTGTGTCGCGTTGTCAAGTTTTGTCTATAGTCTCCTGCTTGGCCAGATTCACCAGAAACAATCTATTTATTTTCGCCGTGAAGTGCCAGATCCACGTCGCTGTGAAGTGCCAGATCGCTTCTTTCAGATTTGATTACACACATCCAGTGAAGTGAACCAAAGCTTGAGATACGTTTTCCAGCTCAATTGGATTATTAATTGGTTTGGAGGTTCATATTGGTTTACATTGTTTATTTTTTTAAATTTGTTTTTTTGTTGTATTTCTTGGACGGTATGTATGATGTTCTTACGTTACGTAGCCAAACAGGTTTGCAATCAATTGCATAATCTCATGAAGAACTTGAAGCACTTGCTTTGATGAATGGCAGAAGATGCATCCGAATGGAAGGCTCCGACGAGCCGGTAGAGACTAGAGACATGGCGTGCGTGTGAGAAGAAGGGGGCTGGTTGAGAGACATGGCACGCACCTTTCAGGACCAAGATCATGTTAGAGCAAGTTAGCTGGACATGTTTTCGCACCTTTCAATCTTTCCTTGTTTGGACATTTTTCAGGGTAAGTCCAGAGGAGCATTTTGCATTCGTTCTGCTTGTTCAAACTACCGACAGGTAGCTAAGTCCCGGCGCCGACCTGGGCGACCTGGGCGAGGTCAGAGAGTTTCGCACGGTCTTTGATGATTTTTGAGAAGGCTTTTGTGAGCGAAAGCGTTGTAGGAAGGCTTGAAAGCCAGAAAGACACCAGATTTTTAATGGCCTTATTGCATCGTGCAATCGTGCAATTGCAATACCGGATCTTGCACAGATCATGCTCATTTGGTGCTGCAAGAGGCTAGGGGCCAGTGGACAGTGCAAGCCCGTGGAGAAACGCATTATATACATGATGTGTGAAGAAGATCGTTTGATGTAGGTGTCACAGTGTCACAGGATACTGTAAACTTGCAAAAGATTGAATTGTTTGAATGTTGGGCCCCTTTGGGCAAGCTCTTGGATCGACATGCACAAAAACACGAAAACCAAAACACCAAACGTGTTCAGGGTTAGGAAACTTTATGAGAAGGCTTACTTCTCGGTTTACTCAAATTGAAATAGCTACAGTAGGTATGTTGGCTCAGATTTTGCATGGGTATTGGTTGGCTCTCTCACCGTGACACTACACAGCTGTGCTGAACTGGTATTTTGCAGTGACTCACACGCATTGCCCACTGAACTTTTTTCACAGCAAAGACTCATGTTCTGACAGTAATGCAAGCATGGTAAGGGTCAGCCGGAGTTTGAGGCTCTCATATCAACGGCGTTGCGCCTGTCCCTCAATGCTCAGAAACATCCAAAACCGTGCAGGTGCCTAAAGTTCCAGACGGGCCTGCTGACCCAACTGCGGTGGCACGTGTGGGCCTTGGTTGAAGGTACAAATGAAGGTCTTGCAGCTGGTGATGTATGGGACGCGGTAGAACTCACCAACTCACCAGTGGATGTACTCTAGCTGACTGCATAAGCTGTACAGAGTCGAACACATGTTGCATGTCTAGCAAGCTTGCATGAAACAACAAATTATATATTTCAAAATCAGTTGTGTGTGCGCACCTACATGTGGTTCTTGCCGCAAGTTCTTGTCTTAGCGTTTCAAGCCTCCGGCGCAAACAGGAATAGTGGCTAGAGTCAAAGAACGAGCTGAGTGCGGCCCTCTGGTCAGACACCATGTGAATACGAACCTAATAGCCTCCAACCTAATAGCGATGGCCTCCAAACCAATAGCGATGGCCTCCAACCAAAGAGTCGCTGGAGCTCGTATTATATATGTAATCAATTAAATCATTTGTTTCTTACCCTCAATTTCTGACCAGCTAGGTGGAAAAGGATTGTATATATGAATGGCAACCGTGGGTAAGTCGATCTACTCTCACTCTGAATCATCCAGGCTTGCAGAGACCGTGGAAAGGTCAAATTATATAGTTGTTGTTTTTTTTGCATCGCCTTGACAGTTGTGTTTGTCATATAGCTCTGGATGTTCTTAAATGATGATGAGACGGCAATGACAAACAGCAATACGGCTAGGGTTAAACAATGACACGTGAGCCGAACTGGCAGATATCCAAACAACGACACATGACCAAGACTCGTGACATGGAATTGACAGACTCTGACAATTACTCTAGACTCTAAACCTGATCAAATTTCTAGTTTCTTTTCCTTCAGAGCTTGGTCATCAGCAACTCATGCTGGTTCAGCTTGATGGCTCACCCTGTGTTATTTTTTTGCGTTTCTTCAGGTCGCTGAGACGCTCCGACTTTTGGGCAAGCACCTCCCACCTCATCCTGGAGGCTCTCAAGGCCGACCTAGTTTTGAATGTGGGCGTTGGTTAGAGAAAGGTGTGGCTAACAAAGAAAGACAATGCGTAGAAAGACACCCCAACCTGAAGGGTGTTGTGAAAGCCTGGTCGCCAGAGTAGGGAGGATTGCCAGTCCGAATTGGGTAGGGTTGCCTGTATGTGCCCAAAGCAAGCGAGATGAACAAGAACGCTACTAGGAGCAAAGGGCATCGCTACGAATGGAGCAAGGACGCTACTAGGGGCTCCTGGCCATACGACTAGGAACAAGAACGCTACTAGGAGCTGTCACGCTGAGTGTCACCATGTTTGCAAACGAATCTGGGTCAACACCTGAAAGGCCGTGCCATCTCAAAGAGACAGTGACGCAGGTGCGAGGCACAGCCCTTATTGATGGCGGATGGTGTGTTTGAGCAGTTCAAGAGCAAACTCTGAGCCAAGGTTGGCGTGTTTGGGCATTGGTTCGGCAGAATCCTCAAGCTCCTCCGTATCCTCCTCAGGATGCGTGGCATACTTGGCGAGATGTTCCTACCGTGCAAATCACACGCGCAATAAACATCCCAGATGAATTGGTCACCCCCAGGAGTCCAGGAGTAGGTTGGAGAATTCTTGGCATTGCACAGCTGTGTTCAGTGCTGCTCTTCTTAGCATTGACTCGCCCAGTACCAGTCACCACAGAGTCACCACGCGCCCGTCCGGGAGATGAGGCTTGGCAAATGGCCCTTGCATGGCTTTTGGCGGAGGAATTGGGGATTGCTGAAAGGTCTTGGGCAGCAGGCGCCTCAAGTTGAATCTTTGGGAAGCTTGGCAAATGATTGAACCAAATCTTTGAAGATGCTGGCTAGATTCTGGAAACATTGACATCATTTCTGGACCGTCCTTTCTGCTGCAGATGAACATCTGAGGATCCACAAATGCCAGTAGCCTAGCAACGGCACACTGTCTCCTGGATTGAGTGGTGTCTGAATGCAAACAAAGAGTCTTATAGCTCAGGTTCATTTTGCAACAAAGATTGAAACCATTGTAAGAAGGTGACGGATCATCCACAAGAATCCAATATGCAACAAACCAGGTGCGCTGCAGATGTGGCTGCCGGACAGGAGCTAGGCTTTGTGATTAAGGCAACATCGGGCGTGCTCCACATGGTCGGGTTTTCATTGAGCTTTGATGGAGCTTCCATGCCCACATCGTTCGTTGACGTGAACCATCCGTTTGCTTCTTTTGGAACTGCAGGGTCTTCTTGAGCTCGCTGAAACGTCTCCGAGGCCTGAAAGCGGGGGACGAAGGGGGTTGCAAAGGGCAAGCAGATGTTCCAAGCTCTTACGGTGGAATCCAGACCAAGCGGTACTCACATGCCACACCCGACCTCCGGTACTTGGCACATTTTGTCGCTCCTCACAAGGTCCGCTCTTCTTGCACTTGATTTGACACAGCAACATCACATCACTTTTATTGTATAGGAACGCTGAGTTGAAGACTGCACTTGTTGTTCAGCTGAAAGAAAGCCAGTCCCCACAGTCGCTGTTGCCCAAGCAGTGACGCACGCAATGCCACCCAGCGCAAGTCGAAATGGCACTTTGCTGGGCTTGTTGGGCATAGTTTTGGTGATTCTATTTGGCCTTCCTACACCAGACTCATTTGCATCGATAAAGGCTCAAAGCAAGCCTGAAAAAACATGGTTGAGCAAAGATATCCTTTGCGTTCGGTGCAACGCTGAAGGGCTGGGTGCTCGACTGGTCGATCTATGCAAAGCCATTGAGCGGCAATGCAAGGGTCGCAGTGTCAGCAATCGAGGCGGGTGGCAGAGCAAAGACCTGACATCTCTCGGTGAGTTTTCAGAGTTGATGCAATTGGTGGCCGAGCCTGCCAAAGTCTTTTTAGAGACCCAAGGATGGACATATCCCACAGAAGACGGAGAAGAGTTGGAAATAGCTTTCATGCCAGATCAGCTCTGGGCAAACATTAACCGGCCTGGAGACTGGAATGCTCGCCACACACATGGAAGTCCTGGTGGCTCCTTGTTCGCCTCAGGTGTCTTTTATCCGGAAGTGCTCGACGCATCACCTTCTCGGTTGCTTCTTTTTCCCAGCAGCAACAAGTCAGGCATTGATGTGGTCCCAGAATCCAATTTGCTGGTGCTTTTTCCTCCTGACGTGCCTCATGAGGTTGAGCCCGCAGCTGCTGATGCTGAAGAACGCATCTCCATTGCTTTCAATCTCGTCGTGCGCTGGTTACCGGGTGAACTGCTGCAAGCTGCCTACATAGGAGACTCAGCAAAAGTCAAATCAATGGCAGCTGATACCGCCGATCGATTGTTAGGGCTCACGGCAGCACATGTGGCTGCGGAGCAAGGACATCTAGCTGTTCTGCAGGCTTTGACCGAGTCCAAAGTTAGTCTTTCAGCCGACTCGTCCTTGGGAACACCTTTGGAACGGGCAGCAGCCCAAGGGCATGAACTCGTAGTAGACTATTTGATGAGTGAGACGCAGCCTGGACTGAACGCTCTTCGTTCCGCTTTGACAGCAGCTGCAGAACGCGGACATGGCAAAGTGGTCGAACGAGTCCGTGTCGCCGTACCGAACTATTTCAAGCAGGTTGCGGCAGCAGCACTTCCCAGCGCTGCGGTGGCCGGACATGCCGAGATTCTGCAGCAGCTGCTCGAGGGGTCGGAAGGGTCGGCAGGGACACCAGAGGCCAAGAAGGCGATGATGGAAGCTGCAACTCGAGGGCATTCGGAGGTGGTAGAGATCCTCTTGGCTGCAGGTGTTGATGCCGAGAGTGCTGACAGCTCTGGCAAGACTGCACTTCACAATGCTGCTGCCAGCGGGCATGTGGACGTTGTCCGCAACCTTGCCCGAAGCACCTCCGGCCGCGCTAGCCTCCATGCGAGAGACAAGCAGGATGCTGAGCCCCTGCATTGGGCAGCCTTACAGGGACATGCTGCAGTGGTTGAGGAGTTGGCTGCGGCTGGAGCTGATGTGGACTCGGTCGCCCTCGGCAGTGTCCCGGGACGGCCTCTCAACTGGGCTGTGAGGGGCGGAAATGCCGATGTGGTACAAAGCTTGTTGCAGCTTGGGGCCGACGTTGGCACTCCAGCAGTGCGGGACTCAATACCACCTCTTCCTCCTGGAAAAGTTTTGGTTCGCTCTGGCGATGTCCTAGTGTGCACACATCAAGCCGAGGTGCCGGCCTAAGTTGAATAGCATCAAGACATTGCAGCAACACAGCGGTGCTACGCAACAATGGGACACATAACTTGCCGAGCAGTTCTTGTGCATGTTGAGAGGTATATAATGCAGTCTAGAACCATGATATTTACTTCAACTGGCTTTCTTGGCCTGATGAAACAACCCAACAACCATTTCAATGCATGATTGCTGCACATGTTTCTCAGCCCATTCTGGCCAGTCCTGTCATACAGGATATCCAAGGCACACCGTTCCAAATGAGGTACGTAGCACAACAGCAAAAGATAATATAAATCCAAACGGATACGATATCATTATGAATCAAGCCTCTAGACTCTAGACTCAAGGCCCGTAGGCATGAGGTTTAGGTATGGCTTGAAGGGCATGGAAAAGGAACAAAAGGCTCCTTCATGTGGCGAAGGCACAGCCTGGCACGCTTGTCCTAGCCAAGCGTACCGCTTTGGTAGCAGAACAAGTGTGTCTACTAGTCTTTCTAAGGCATCAGAATCAGCCCAAATGGCTTTTGATAGCAATACAGAGTGACTGCAAGTGGCCCATTTTGCTTCTTCTGTGACAGTTGAATGAAACTCTGTGGCAGCTGGGGCTGTTGGGAGCCAGTGTTTTTGCTCAACCCTGTTATAGTTGTATGCCGAGATGAAGGAGTGCAACGATTTGCATTTCCAAAGTTCCAAGAAAGACATCAAAGACAACCCGCAACCTCCAGAACCTACACTGCCAATGGAACCAAGTCACGCTGACCTGACAAAGTGAAGTTGCATCATGTTGCATCTTTGCATACTGTAGGTGCTAGCGAAGAGAGGGGTGCCTGCATTTGCAGCCGGAGAAGATGGCACGTCTCCACTCCATATCGCTGCACGTATCGGGGATGAGCGAATTGTCACCTTGTTATTGGAGACGAGACGCGCAAATCTGAATGCCCGGGACTACTCTGGTGCCACACCAATGCATTGGGCTGCAGCCAACGGGCACCCCAAGGTTGTCATTGACTTGCTGGAAAGAGGTGCCCAACCCGACGCCACGGATCTGTCAGATGCGACACCTTTACATGATGCTGCCTGGGCCGGCCATGCTGAAGTAGCAGATGCGCTCCTCAAAGCAGGTGCCCAAGTGGATGCTGTAGATGCACATGGCCGGACAGCATTGCATGCGGCGGCGCTACTGAGTCAGCCAGATTTGGTAGCTGTGCTGCTGAGTGCCGGGGCAGCAGAGATCCCAGATGACCAGCAGCAATATCCCTTGGATTTCGCCCACCAAGCATCGAAGTGGGTTCAGGCTGTTTCAAAGGTCATGGGCTCAAAGTATGGTGAAGCGCTAGTTAGCAGAGCACAGCGTGTGCAGGAGTTACTTGAGAGAAATGGAGGCAAGGCTGACACCATGCCTGTGGGATCCTGTGGGTATTGAAAGACATGTGCAGTTTCCTAGATGTTTTTTTCACTAAACACATTGTTCCCCAAGTTCTCGTCCACACAAGGAGGCCTGCCTTGCTCTTCATGCCGCACTGTGATCGACAGCTCTATGAGGCATCCTGCTTCCTGCTCCGTGTCCAGCTTTAAACGTGAAAAGACAAGAGGAGGGCCTTGCGGCGCCTTGCATTCTTTTTCTTCAGCAACATTTTCACTGCTCAAACTGCCAGACCGTGCTCTCTGACATCAGTGAGGAAGACGAGAACTGAGAGTGAGAATGGTGCAAACATTGCTTCGAATCCTAGAGAAATGCCTTCCATTTCCTCCTCGGCTTTGCACAATCTTGTGTTTTTGCTGAAATGTGGCTTGCTGTGCTTGCTTGCTCATGTTCTTTTTGTCATTTGCTTAGCCAAGTGAGACATTTCGCCATACTTTTAGTCCTTCTGGCCTGAGGATGTTTCTTCTCTGGCTGATGTGGTCCTGCTCGGAAACTCTTTTCAGGCACGGTGCTCCCATGGGGAGACGTGGGAGTGCTGAGACTTCCAAATCGGAAAACAATCCAGGACCTGCATAGAGTACTATTGGTGCATATAACACAATTAACACATGTGGGAGGCTTCAAGGACGAAACACATTATATACACAATATATACACAGTATATTAAATATGTGAATCGCTCGCTGAGCGATCAGGTTTGAACCAACTCGTACCGCCCTTAGCTGGGTGGGCTCAAAGCTTGAGGAAAACCGGCGCGTGTTTGCGGTTCGTTCCGCTTCGACCTCGCTTGCACTTGGTTCGGGACTTCGTTTGCCTGACCGCTTTTTCTACATTGGTAGCGGAGCCCTGTGAAGGGGCTCCGCTGCGCACTTCGCGACGACGAGCCGAAGGTCCGGGATAAGACCAGGGTCACGGACGGTTCGAAGAGCTCTTTGTGTTTGCCTCCACCTTTGCTTGGTTTCGTGCACTGGCTACCTGAACACCCCAGCCACCAAGCAGGTGATTGAAGAGCTCTATCCTACCATGCCGCCTCCAAAGAAGACTGAGACCCAGGCACCCACCGGCTCACGAGATGGTGGAGGAGGCTACACGGACCTGAGGGATAGCTATGTCCCCACCTTCTCAGGCCAACCGGCCGACTACAAGGAATGGCGCCAGCGGATCCATCTCTATCATCGCAAGATGATGCTCACCAAGAGAGGCAATGAGTCCGTCCTGAACATCATTGGATCTTTCCAAGGAGTCACCTGGCGACTTTTCCAGGACTGGAGCCTCGAGGAGCTGGAGAAGGAGTCATCCTTCGACCGCATCATTGCTACGTTGGATGCGAACTTCCAATACGATGCCCGAGTTCAGTTGCCCAACGACTTTGAGGGCTACTTCAACCTGCTCCAACGTACAAGCGGCCAGACTCTGTTGATGTTCGTGGCCGACCACGAAGAGGCTTACAGGAAGCTCCAACAACACAAGGTCGAACTTCCGGCCTCAGTTCAGGGCTGGCACTTGTTGCGACGTGCCTCCATCTCCAAGGAGCAACGACAGATGGTGACGCTGAAGGCACCGAGTTTGGAAAAGAAAGATGTGATAGAGGCCCTCTACTTGCTGCTCGGTCAAGACTACAAGGGAGGAACCTGGCCGATGGAGCGCAAGCGATTTGGCTTTGCACCATGGCGCAACAACCGTGCCTACATGGCCGATGACTATGATGATGAAGAGCCATGGGAGTCAGGTTACTATGAAGGTGATTGGACTGAAGAACCCACCTATGCCTCCTACGAGGACTATGACTACGAGCCTGAGGAGCCCGACGAGTTTGACAATGAAGCAGGCTACTATGGTGAAGAACAATGGCCTGATCCTGATGCCGAGCCTGTCAGCCCTCAACACATGGCTGAAGAGTACGACCACGCCTTTGCCTCGTACACAGATGCTCGGAAACGATTCCAAGAGCTGAAGATGGCCAGAGGATATCTTCCAGTGGTAGCTTTGACCGATGGCTCACAAGCACCAGTGTCTCCTGCATCCAATGCTACATCATTACCTTCCTCTTGGCGCTCAAAAGGAAAAGGGAAAGGAGGCACCAAGTCTGGCAAGTCCAAAGCCAAGACGACAATTCGCTACCCACCTCAAGGTGCTGGCAAAGCAGATCCCAAAGGAAGAGCTCGTGCAGCACTCACTTGCCTGAGGTGTGGCCAACCTGGTCATTGGGCGGCCAACTGCCCACAAGGTTCAAGCAGCTCAGCCTCCAAGGCTGGAACGAAGAGGCCCGCTCCAACGGAAGGCATGGCATTTGCAGCTCAACCCGAGGAACTTGCTCTCCTCACCTTCCAAGACGCCAACGGCTTGGAGCGACCTGACTGCGCTATGCTGGATCCTGGTGCAAGTGCATTCCTTTCAGGCTATGGCCCTTTTCGCAAGCTGCTGGAGCACTATGAGGACCTTGGCTATCCCACCGACCTCATCAAGATGACAAAAGGCCGGAGACGATTTCAGTTCGGTGGAGACGCCTCACAATGGTCCGACTGGAGCACACACCTTCCGGTCTTCGTTGATGGCAGGTACGGAACAGTTGAAGTGTTCTTGCTGCCGGGCAACACGCCCTTGCTTTGTGGAAGACCCATCATTGAAGCCTTGGGCATGACAATGGATTTCGCCAACAAGAAGCTCAAGATTGGCGGATCACCTTGGCAACCGGCCACGCTTGGTCGACAGGGAGAGTATCTGTGGCCCCTCACTTTCGAGCACGACCTGATTGAGTACGACCCCGGCAAGCCACAGTTTGAACTGAAGACCAATGATCCTGATGTTCACCAACAGGATGGCTTCTACCTCCCCGACTTTGTCAAGGAAGAGCACAGTTTCCAAGTCCATGATGGACATGTGACAAAGGATGACCAGACCAATCGAATCAAGGGTCAACTGCTGAAAACCATGGACGTGCACCTCACCACCCACATCAACGACATGTCTGCCTACCTCACTCAGGAGTTGCATCGCCCACCAAAACCGAGGGTCCTATGGGAAGTATATTGCGGTAAGGCCCGCACTTCTGAGATGGCAGCAGTCTTTGGCATGGAAACCAGGCAGTTCTCCCTGGACACTGGCTGGAACTTCGACTCCCTCGACCACCAACAGCAGTTCTTAGACCTCCTCGATGACGAGATGCCAGAAGAACTCCTGCTCACTCCGGTCTGCAAGCTATGGTCTCGCATGCAGTCACTTGGCCGGAGAACTGCACACCAGCAGGAAGCTCTCGTTGCTGCTCGCCAATGGCATCATGACCGACATCTATGCTTTGTCCGCGATGCCTATCTTCGACAGGTCAAGGGAGGAAGACATGCTCACCTTGAGCAGCCTCGCGATGCCAAGTCATGGCAGACTCGAGCACTTCCGATTTCTGGTATGGAGCTCAGTGCCTTGATGAGGACAAACAATGGCGACCTGTTCTCAAGAACACTCGGATCCTCACTACCAAGAAGGCTGTGCAGGAAACCATGTGTCTCCAATGTCTCCACGATCACCAGCATTGTCGCCTCGAAGGCTCTGCACATGGTCTTGGCTCTCGCACCCGCTACATGGAAGATTTTCAACCTGGGTTGGCGACAAGTCTTGCTGGAGCTTTGAGCACTGATGAGCCTGCAACATTGTGGGAGCACGCTCACTACACCGTGGACTATGCCTTCGCCGCTGAGGAGAAAGAGCTGACAGGCGCTCTAGTGAAACTGAGCGCGGAAACGAAGCAGGAAGCAATCAGAGTGGTTCAGCGCCTTCATCGCAATTTGGGACATCCTTCACCGACCACTTTGACTGAGTTGCTGTCCTCCCGAGGTGCTTCGGAAGCGATCCTGCAAGCTGCTCAAAGCTACAAGTGTTTGGCCTGCGCCAAGTATAAGAAGCCTGGCGATGCTGCACCTGCTGCTACCCAGAAGGCACAGAACTTCAATGAGATTGTACAGGCCGATGTGTTTTGGATTCGAAGGGGCTCCACAAAGTATGCCATCATGAGCATTGTTGACATGGCCACTCGCTATACTGCTGCCTGCCTCCTTCGATCCGAGCGGTCCGAGGAATACATCAAGGCCCTTGAGCGCTTCTGGATTGCACACTTTGGTGTTCCTGGCCAGCTTCTGACAGATGAAGGCCGACCTTGGCTCAGCGGCATCATGGATGAATGGACCACAGCTCACGGTCTACAACGCAAAGTGGCACCAGGTGAAGCTCATGAACGCCTCGCCATCGTCGAACGACGCCATGCCTTGATCCGCAAAGCTGTTGAGATCTACCTCGATGATGTGAAGGTTGATCATGTTGAAGGCATCAAAGAGGCGCTCACCTTCGTTGTGCCACAGCTCAATGCCACTCCGATGGTTGCTGGATTCAGCCCTTCACAATGGGTTCTCGGCTATCAACCTAGCCTTGCCGGAGATCTGTTGTCCGATGCCATGCATCCCTCGCACTTTGGTGGCAACGCCTCTTTTGAAGACATGCTCAACAAGCGGCATAGTGCCAAGAAGGCATTGCTGGACGCCGATGCTGATCGCCGCCTTCGACGAGCTCTCCAAATGAAGTACAAGGGAACCAACGCCGAATACAGTCTGGGACAACGTGTTTGGTTCTGGCGTGATGCACGACAGCCTGACTTGGTCAAGATCAGATGGCTTGGTCCTGCACATGTGGTGATGAAGGAATATCAGCAGGACACTGACACGCCACAGGTCTCCGTCTACTGGCTCGCCTTCAAGACGCAGCTGATCAGATGTGCACCACATCACATCAGGGCCGACGTCAAGGGCATGGATCACGCACTTGATGACACGCAACTTGCCCTCAATACAGTTCGCCAGCTGCGATCCCGTGGAGTCACCAGATACTATGACCTGCATCGGCTCAATCGACAGCACCTGGCTGATGTTGAAGACGATGAACATGGCACCAGTGACAACTTGGAGTCCGACAGTGATCATGAAATGGCTCCCCCACGACAGCGACCTCGTTTGTCAGTGTCACCAGCACCCCCTGAAGACTCCCCAGACCCGGCACCAGAGGCACCAGCCGCCGAAGCTCAGGCATCCCCAGCGGCACCCGCCGAGACAGAGGACCAACCTGACGGCGCACAGATTCCCATTCCAGAAGGCGACGTCTCGCCCCTGTCGGGGATCTCCCTCTCCGAGCCCAGTGAAGAGCCTGCAATACCTACAGCTGCACCAACACCACACTCAGCAAAGTCACAGCCAACACTTGATCCTACCACGGCAGCACTATATGAAACAGCTGGACCAGAGACCTTCCAACAGCAACGACTGAGGTTCAGCAGACAAGAGACAATCAGCTTCGCACCATGGCGAAACCGCCATCATCAACACAGCCAACCATATGAAGCACCACAACCACCGACACCAGCACCGCCTCCAAATGAGTCGATTGGCGACCAAGGATTTGTGGTTGAAGACATTGATCCTGGCTGGCTTCCTGAAGGCTGGCATGTCGATGAAGAAGGCTACATCAGCCTCACTGGTCGCACCACGGACTACTGGGAAATCAGAGCTGGGTGTCTCATCCGACATCATGTGATCCCGAGAAGAGGCCGCATGCACATCGAGCACCTCCCGAAGGATTGCCCAGTGCCACTCGAACACCTTGATAAGGTCAAAGTTACCATGGTTCATCAAGCCAACGGCAAAAGCCGCCTCTACACAGATGACGGCACCGACACTTCAGCCCCAGCAGATACCAAGGATGCTTGGACAGGTCTCACAGTCTTCCAAATCGACGGCACTACTCGCAAGGAGATGGCCATGTACTCTGGTCACCATGAGGCCTACACCAATGCCAAGCAAGAAGCAAAGAGCCAGAAGTTGTCCCGCGCAAAGAAGTTCAAGAAGGACAAGAATGGGGTGAATGAACGCCTACTTGGACCTGATGAACGAGCACTCTTCAAGGAGGCAAAGGTCAAAGAACTGAAGTCCTTTTTCGACCATGGTGTATGGACTTTCCAGCACAAGGACGAAGCAGATCCTGCAAGAACCTTGACCTCCAGGATGATTTTGAAGTGGTCCAAACACCCCGACGGCAGTCCACGGGCCAAAGCTCGCTTGATCGCGCGAGGATACAACGACCCCGATGCACTTGAGGGTACTGTGGCCACATCCAGTCCTACCACAACACGTTTGAGCCGCAGCATGATCTTGTCCCTGGCCGCCAACATGAAGTGGAACACTTGGACGGCTGACGTGTCCACGGCTTTTCTACAAGGCCGACCACAGACTCGCAAACTGTGGGTCAAGCTTCCCGCCGAATGCACCCAACTCCTGGGCGCTGATGAGGATTCCAGAATGCTGTTGCTCAAACCCTGCTACGGGCAGAGGATGGTTCCTTGAAGCAGTGGACAGACTTCTCCGTGCTGGTCTACGCCAACATCCACTGGACCCCTGCTGCTTCCTCATCTATGAGACCGACAGCAAGACCTACGATGAGAAAGATGAGGTACACCAACAGGTGAGCAGCCTTGGACCGGAACGTTTGGTCGGAATGGTGATCATGCATGTTGACGATATGTTGGGCAGTGGCTGCACCTTGTCTCCTCGCTACCAGGAGGTCATCAAGGACCTGAAGAACAACTTCTCCTTCCGGGAGTGGAAGGAAGACCTTGAGACTCTCGAGTACTGTGGCTGTTAGCTACAGTCTACACCAGAAGGAGGCCGGAAGCTGCATCAGGGCAACTACATGTCCAAGATCTCGCCCATCACCTTCGACAAGAAGAGAGCCATGTCAGAGTCACTGCATGAAAGAGAAATCACACAAGTTCGTGGCCTACTTGGTTCCTTGCAATGGCCCGCAGTTCAGAGTTCACCACACTTGCAGTGCTCCACATCCATGCTCTCATGCCAGATCGCGAAGGCCACCGTGCAGACTTTGCATGAATGCAACCAGCTCCTGCGCTTCAGTAAGGACAACAAAGATGTTGGTTTGTTGTACAACTACATTGGTCACCCCTCAGAGCTACAACTGGTAACTTTCTTTGATGCTGGTTTTGCAAGCCGCACGGACGGCAATTCTCAGGGTGGCTACATCTCCATGTTGACGAACAAGAAGTTGGTCAACTCACCAGAAGAAGGGGAGTACCACATTGTGGATTGGCGGAGTTTTCGAACGCCAAGGGTGGCTCGCAGCTCTTTGGCTGCAGAGGCACAATCAGGTGGGCAAGCTGCTGATGCGGTCGACTTCACCTGCCGCTACTGGGAGCATTTGATGGACCCCAAGATCACGTTGAAGAACCTCATCCAAATGCCCTCCAGCCTCAAGCCCATCCTGGTGACAGACGCCAAAGCTCTGTATGATTCCTTTCACAGAGAAGGCATCAATTCCTCTGTGGTCGACAAACGGGTTAGCTTGGAAATCCGTGTGATGAAGGAGCGCGTCACGGAGCTCAACGGCAGTCTTCGCTGGATGTCTTCAGAAAGACAAATTGCAGACGGTCTGACAAAGACCAGTGCTCGTGTCCTTCTTTCCGCCCGACTACGTCATGGAAGATTGAAGATGACCTGGGATCCAACATACCAGGCAGCAAAGCGGAAAACAAAAGGGCAACGTGCCGCTGCAATAGCAGAAAGCACTCCAGAGGCCCACAAGCAAAAGAATGTGCACACCTATGAAGATGAGCACCTTCAGGCTACCGAGGACATGCCTGACCCCTTTGAAGCCCATGAGAACTTGCACATGCCACCGAATGAGCACCACTCAAAGAATGAACACGCCACACAGTATGCGTTTGTGGCCAAGTATGTCAAGCCTCTTGAGTATGTGCTTCTCTCTAGCCATGTCGCAAGCCGCAAGGACTATGACTTCCACAGTCGCATGAAGTATGTCTTGCTGCTGCTGGCGCTGATGGCGCCGACTTTGACTGCTGCCCAGGACACCTGTGCAGGGCAGCCGAATCGAGAAGAAGATCAAGTTCTTTGGTTCTGGATTCTCAGCTGCTTGGCTTTGCAGCTGATTGCCATGGCTGGAGTTTTCCTCCTCGGCCGCTACCTTGGCGGCAAAAGCGCTGAACCTGTCATCAAGTATGACATTGGCATCCAAAAGAATGAGCCCATCGTGAGTCAGAGGCTTCGAGAACAAGTTCGTGAGTTGAGAGATGAGCTACGCATCTCCAAGTTCGAAGCCAACAACAGCCTTGAAGCAGCCCGAGAGGCAAGGGTTGCCCAGGCACGCTCTCAGGAAGAGGTCTTCGCCTTGAGCGACCTCGCCCTCAATGCCCAGTCTCTCATTCACGCGCTGGAGCGCGAGATGGATGACCATGCTGAAAAGTGTCCCTTCAACCACGAGATCTACCTGTCCAAGAAGGGCATCTGCTGGCACCACCGTGATTGTCACATCACGGAGCAGCTGTGCGAAGCCAATCGGCTGGTGCTGAAGGGCTGCTGCTACTGTGCAGCCGGAGGAACCCCTCCGGACCGCATGGTCTACCCGAGAGGTTGGTGCCTGAGGCACGACATCCAATCGTGGCAAGAAAGCTACGTGTCTTTTTCGAACGGGTTGAGATGAAGAATACCTCCCCGTGTGAATCGCTCGCTGAGCGATCAGGTTTGAACCAACTCGTACCGCCCTCAGCTGGGTGGGCTCAAAGCTTGAGGAAAACCGGCGCGTGTTTGCGGTTCGTTCCGCTTCGACCTCGCTTGCACTTGGTTCGGGACTTCGTTTGCCTGACCGCTTTTTCTACAAAATACATACTTTAAACAATACAATATTAACAATAATAAATATAGTAAAAGCCATAAAAATATCCACACACACACATATATATATATATTCTAATATACTTTGGTTCCAGCTGCGAGCTGCGCTCGGAGAGCAGCACCGAACACCGGAGCACAGAACAGGTCTCAAGCTCAAGCTTCGACGCTCGAAAGGTCTACCGGGAGCGTGATGAGCTCAAACTCGTGACCACTGGCCCGGGAGCACCTACTGCCGGGGTGGGCCTGGCTTGTGCGGCTTTTGCATCTTTCTTTTGTGAATTACGCAAAGACATTATAGACATTTGTTTAACTCCTGTTTTGACTGAAATGAGCCACTGACCAAAACAAGATCAAAGCATGGAACATTTCAGTCAAGATTGACTCATTTGCCTCATTTGCCATGTATATATATATACACATAATACACATGTATATATATATATATAGATAGATAGATAGATAGAAGCCTTGGTCAGAGTTGCATAGAATCGCAGCCGTTTCACGACCATGGCAGATGTGCCACAAAAGTATTACTGGTTCACGTGGTGTCAAAGAAGCATAAATCCATGCCCATGCCCTGAGGAATGCAGAATTCAGAAGTTGATTGAAGCCAAGATGCCGTTCTTACAGTCAATTTTCTTAATGTGAAGACAGTATCTTCTAGACAAGTGGACTGGACAAGCAACTCACAGTAGCTCAGAGCATCCGTGATGCAGATGCTTGACTGGGGCGGTCTGATGTGAACCTTAAGGAGATAGCTACTAGTAGTTTTTTGCTACTAGTAGTAATGCCGGGAGCTGCTAGTAGCTTCTTATTGCTAGTAGTAAGGCACGTAGCGATGTCCTTGGTTGGAATGAGGTACTTTGAACTGCTTTGCCTTTTCTCCAACGCCTGTGTAGGAGCCATGTCTTTGGTAGGTGCCGACGATGTGCGCCATAGTTGTTGTTTGTAAAACCTTCAGTTTTCAGCATACCTTCCTCTCCTCTATGCCTCTTGCTTACTCCCTCTAACTCTCTATGTCTGGATCAGCATCGGCCAGTTACCACCGGTCCTCACAGCGCTCATTGTTCGGTACACTGTGAAGAAGTTCTCTGGAGGGCTCAGATCTGAGCTGAATGCATATATTAATATAGCAGACACGGTTTAGCCGAGATTTGAGCAGTTATTTGTGATCCCCTGAACATGTGCCAAGCGCAGCCAAATAGCCCGAATGAAAGTGATTTGGATTCATGCAGCCGCACGCTTGCGTTGTTCTCAAAAAGGGAAGCTTTCAAGGAGAGAAGATTTGCTGCCCGATGATATAGATGATCCCGAGCTGCTTCTACGAGCGCTGGCAGTGATCCTATTTTTCCAATCTTGCGTGAGAGTGCCTAACATCACTTTGAAAGGGTTCGCTCTTACTACTAGGACGCTACTAGGGGCTCCTGGCATCGCTACTAGGAGCGATCGGACGCTCTCAGTGGGTTTTGAACACGTTTCGGAGCGGAACACGAATCGGGGTCCCAGGTGAGGAAGTATCAGTTTGAGCGTGAGCCTCGGGAGCGGCCCCAGACCAAAACAGAAAAAACGCTCCGCTGAAACGGATGACCTCATGGACTCATGGACCTCATGGACTCTCAGGTTGCAAGCTGCAAAGAGTTCCCAGTTCAGAGCTGAAACACAGGCGCAAGCGCGTCAACCAGTTTCGTTCTTCTACTGTAGTCTTCGTGGGCCAAGTGGCCTTGGATGTCCCTTGAAAAAAGCAGGCACCAAGAGTTTCGTGACCTCAGCACACGATGTTGTTGCGGGAAAACCATAGCACCTTGTATAACTTTACCAGGCTGAGAACCTGAAGAAGCAGGTCGAATCTCTACAGGACACTGAATCGCAAGCTGCAGAACGTATCTCTTGCTCTACAAAAACGAACATTTTTAATCCTGTTGAAGAAGTCGCCTGGAGCCTTGGACCAAACTTACAACATTCATGTGTCTTCTGTTCTATCATGTTTTCGTTTGGCAAGGCTTCGCTTTTCACAGCAGCTCTCCCGTCCCATGGTGCCTTGCAACTGCCCTCACTCCAGGAGGCCAGCGAGGAAGCGCAGACTTTGGCAAAAGAGGCCACGTCGAAGCTGGACCTCGGATCATGGCAGCCATTTCAATGGGCCGTCAAGCATAACTAAATCATGGCAAACCCATTATTAACAAGTTTTGTTTTTTCATTTTTCAGGAAGACCAAGAGCTAAAGCAGAACAGGTTGCTACCTCCGGCTGTTTAGGGCGATTGCTTGGTATCATTTTCTTTCTTGGCCCAAGCTTGTGCAATGGCGGAGAGCTCTTCACAGCAGGAAGAAGGTCAGGACAAATGGCGGAATTTGCTCCTCCTGATTTTGAGGGACAGAATTTACAGGAAGCTGGCATTCTGGCGGCCAAAGTTCAAGTTCCGAACTATCGACAAAATCACTCAAAGCCTCTATGACAGAGACAAAGGAGGAGCAGACAGGTTTCTGGACATGAAGGAGCTGGTCTTGAATGATCAAGATGGTCCAAAAAAGTCTGGAGAGAGAAAGGTTTGCATCGAGATTTTCGACTCCGATTTCGCGTGCTTCATTGATGTTCTGATGTTGTTGAATGTCAGCATGACAATGGTGATAGCTCCCTTGACCTTTTTATGGGATGGCCGTTGGGCGGATGTTTCCTCTGTTCCAGGAGGACGAGACCTGCTAGTCTTTGATTTATGCTTAGACATTCTCTATGCGGTCTATTTGCTCTTGATGCTGGAAATGTCCTACTTACATCCCCAGCAGCGTACAGAGATTGTCACACGAAGAAGAGTAATTAAAAGCAAATTTATCTCGCCACTCTATTGGCTGAAATGGCTCAGTGTGACTTCATACATTTGGGTGACGCTCTTTGACGCCCCACTGTTCATCAATGTCTTGAAAATGATCCGTGGTGGAGTCTTTATCGTTCTGCCCGATTCCCTGTGGCGCTTGAGGGATACAAGTGAAGTACGACTTGCAAAGCCCATTCTGCTGCTCATGGGAATTGCCCACTGGGTGGCCTCAGGCCTCTTTGCCTTTGGTGGATATTTGGAGTATATGCAGCAACATGGCGCAGAAGCATCAGAGACCACATTTCGCGGGGTAGTCATTGATGGAAGGATCTCCTCCTACGTGGTCGCCTACGTCGAGGCAAATGGGGCTCTTTCTGGATTTTGAGTCGGTTTGATGACCTGATTTAAGTAGAACTAAGCCAGTATCAGACACGAGACATAGATAGTGGATCCGGTACGTTGAATGATTCAATTCAAAGCAAGCTTAAATACTGCAGGAATCATAGATGGCCTTTTACTATTAGTGTGTTGATTGATAGAGAGGATACCCTCAAGTGTACAACCAATAGGTAAATGGTACCAAACCGTAACCGACCCATCTATTCTTCCCAAAAGGACACCACTGGCAGGAATAGTGACTCCTGCCCACTTCATGATCTATATTCCACACAAGCTGCAGTATGAACATGTTGCACACTTCAAGAGAAGATAATGTATGTCGCTTGGCAGAAGGCAAATCAAGAAGGTGGAGTCGCCTGACTTCGAGCTATCCTCACCCCATCGTCTTTTTTTGAGGCTTGTGTCCAATGTACACTGATGTGATCCAAGAATCGAAAAAACATCTGGCACCGACACACTGCAACACAAACCCATTTCACACTCACACCTTCTCACTGCAGCCGTTGCGGGTTCCACTTCCCCCCACTCCAGAAAAAGAAGTGTTTTGGGCAACTGATAAATTTTGGAGGCGCTCTACATGCTGACTGGAGCGCTAGATGGGCCCACGGGTGATGGCGCTAGAGATGGCAATTTTGGGGCGTTGATCATTGTGGTGATTTTTGCGCCAATTGGGCAGTTGGTGGTGTCGCTCTTCATTTCAGCCATCCTTCAGGAGCAAGACTTGAAGAATGCACTGGATCGCCGCCACAATGAAAACAAAGCCTTCATACAACGTGCTGTTCAGATCCTGGGCATTCCCAAGGAACTGCAAAGGAGAGTATTCAGCATGCATTATTTCCAAAAGATGAGTCATGACGTCGAGGCATTTCAGATTCTCTTCGATGGCAAAACCCTGAGTGGCGCTCTTTCGTCAGCCCTCAAGATCCACCTTTATCAGGAATCGGTTCTGTCCTGCGCATACTTGGCCAATAAGGATTCCAACTACATCATTGAGGTGGTGAAAGTACTAGAAGATGTTGTTTGTCTTCCAGGAGAGTATGTGGCTCGCCGTGGTGCGATTGCCTACCAGATGTTCTTCATAGCCAGAGGGCTCTTATCCGTGCTGATACCTGATGTTCAGTACAAGACAGATGTGACATATGCAAAGAAGGTGAAGACCCTGAAACTCGGGGACTTCTTTGGGGAAGTCGCTTTAATCAATGACTGTGTGCGAACAGCCTGGATTCGGGCAGACTCCTATGCTCTGCTGGCCTCCTTGTCTCGACATGACATTGAGACTGTTTGGAAGCATTTTCCAGAGTACAAAAAGGAGATGGCTGATTTAGTTGCGAAAACAGCAGCAGAAGACAAGGCGCGTAATGCAAAGAAGAGATGGCACAATGTGAATACTGGAGACCAGAAGAAAGCATTGCTGGAGATGGGGAAGCTTGACTCCAAGAAGAAATCCACCAGGAACACCGTCTTGGATGCAGCCGAAAATGAAGACGACGGCAATGCTTTGCTGGCTTCGGGTGATTCGGCTGCTCTCACACGAGAGGAACAGCCCGATACAAGCAAGATGCTGTCAGAGCTTTTGCAGCGACAGGCTGCCTTAGAGCGAAGGCTCCAAGAACAAAGCCAACAGCTGGATTTCCTCGTGAAGCAAAAACCTCGAAGACGGAAGGGGGGTGCAAAGGAGCCTCAGGAGCCTAGTGGGCCTAGTCAGGGAATTGTCTCTGAACATGTCCCCAGCCTGCCGGCCATGGTCTTTGACCCACTCAGTGATCCACACGAAGCAAATGAAGTCATGTGACTGTTTGCCAAAGGCAGCAGACCATGCAGACTTCCCGAATTGTGAGGTGCAACTGGCAGGGTCTGGGTGGAAGCGGGCTCTGGGGTGGATTGCTCCTGCTTAGCTGAAAGATAAGGAATGTGTTGGTACGTAAGACTGTCCCAACCCGCTTCTACCCAGACCTAGCCAATTCTGTTGCTCTGTCAAAGTGAAAGGTGCGACGTGCGATTGTCCCATTTCATCGAGAGAACAACAGTAAGCCACAGCAAGGAAGAAGGTCCACTTGAAGACTTGTAAGAGTTGCTCACTCAGGTTGGCCTACGCAGAGCGGAGAGTGGGTGACTACCGTAGCCGGGTCTGGGAGCCTGGCCCAGACAGTTTCTGTCAAAGCCACAAGAAGCTTCTAGTAGCTTCTTGCTCCTAGTAGTAAGGCCAGGAGCTACTAGTAGCGTCCTTGCTCCTAGTAGCGATGCCCTTTGTTACTAGTAGCGTCCTCTTGCTACCTTCACACTTTGCTTCATTCAGATTGCTTGCCTGGGCAGCAAATGGGAATCAATCACCGGCTTCAGCAATGAGCTGGGCACTAAGCAATGAGCTGGTGGAAGTGCGCGACAAAGTCCTCAAACACGCATTTTTGTTATTTGACATACGACTTTGTGCGTTTCATACACTGTCGTGCACTCTGCAACTCATAATTAATTCATACTTCTTTCTGTGCCACAAAATTTGCCCTCAGATATCTTCTCCCCTTGAAATAATCTCTCTGGTTTCTTGAGAAAAAGAACACCTGCTTTTCAACGGCTACCAAAACAGCACATTTGACTCCATTGCTGTCCCGATGTTTAACTTCGTTTGCCGTCCGATTTTCCAGAGCGAATCGCAGTGGAAAACCATTCTATCGCATTCTATAGCAGCAGAATGTTTCCAACATTGCAAAGGCAACAGGCCGCAGAGCGACGCTGCCACCAACATCCACCCTATTGACTAGCCCCTCGATATTGCATTTCCAGAAGCCTGGAACGCACAAATCAGGGAACCTTCTGCCGAAGCTGACGGAAGGAAGCTTCCAGCTTCCATCCGAAAACTCGAGTGCTTTTTGATTGAAAAAAGCTGCTATAGCAATACTACAGCATCAACTGATTCTTGCTCTCACTTTTTACATTTATTTATATATATATATTTATTTTTTAAACCTGGGGGTACTGACCTCTTACTACATACCTGATTCATTCTCATTCACCCTTCTTCCTCTTTGCGGCCTATATACTCTCCAAAAGAAGTAACATCCCTAAAAGCAGAAATTGAGTCAATCACATGAAATAGATCACAGATGACAAAAGCCGCTTTTCCTGTTTCTTTTGGAGCCGAGAGCTTTCGCCCAGTGAGCTGGAGCGGAATCCCAGTGCTGCAGCCAAGCGCTTCAAGGGCGAACTCCGAGCGTCTTGGCTGCGAGGAGTCGCGGTTGTTGGCTTTTCAGCACGGGGTTTTTGTTCATGTTTGTTTGTTCCCATACAATACAAGTATACCCTTCGGCTTTGAAAAAAGACTTGGAACTGATCTCGAGAACTTCACCAGGCTCCAAAAAGGTCTACGGGCCCAACGGGACCCACGGGACCAACGGGCCTGACGGGCTCTCGACGGGCCCTCTGCGGCCTGACGGGATGAATGGGCCCCTCAAACAGACCGGAAGAGGTCGGACAGCCACGTGCTCAACTGCATGGTGTTGGGCTTGAGCTCTGTCACTGTCACCGTGCAAGCAAACCGCAAGTGTGCAAGTTTTCTCATTGTCCTGATCAAAAAGCAATTCAAAGTCTCCAGAGAAGCTTCTTTCACAGCTTATTATCCCAGGCACCGTAGAAATGTCTTTATGAACTCAAAGGGATTTCTATAGAATCACGTTCAAACTCCGTGTAACCAATTGGATGGCCTACACTTTACCTGGAACGACGGGACTGACGGGCCCTGGCCTGACGGGACCGACGGGCCCAACGGGAAGACCCACCCAGAGGACCATGGCCAGAACTTCACCAGACCCCAAAAAAGCAGGAGAGCAGACTGGTGTGAAAACCAGGAGTTCAGTCGTGCTTCACTTCCAGTATTCACCATTTCTTTGGATGTGCACTTTGCCCGGTGGAGATCCCAGGGCCAGTGGAGCCCAGCCTCCTTCAAGGAGCTCTTGCAAATTCAAATTCCCCACCGAAACAGGTTACGTAAGCAAGAGACCCAGAGTGCATTTCTAAAGACCCAGTGGCCCAGGCTACGCAATCGGAGATCTTCAATGAGAAGATGACCATCCGACGTAGGGATGCCCAAATTGGGAACATGACGGCAAAGATCAATGTTTTAAACATCAATTCTGTGTGATTTTGGGCCAGAAGCCAATGCCTTGATCAGGTTTGCAGAAGGAGTTGAAAGTTGTCAAGGAGCCTGCTGGTCACCGTGTTTGCCATCAAAGCCTTCTTCAGGGAAACCACAGCAGGTTTTGCGATTTGCACGGGCACACGCACACACACAGAGTCTAGCTTTCAAATCATTTCCATTCACCGACTGACTGATCAGAAAGTTCCTAACTTTGCAAAGTGTTGTAATGCCTTTTGCATCGATTTGCTAATTTGCGCCAGTACAGGAGATGCTCACGGACTCTGAAGCCCGGCACACAGGATTTCATCGAATTCACTTGAACGCATGCATAGTTTGGTGATCTGAATGTGCAAGTTTGTTCCGTTGGCAGCTACAGCAAAGGAAGTCATCACGGATATCACTGCTATTCTTAATTTGTGGCAAATGCACCTTAACGAAACAAAAAGGGCAAATTGCTGCAGGGAAGCTTCGCACAGCTGTACGAAGAGCTTGCATCAACAAGGCTGAAAGACGAGGAGTGGTCTGGAGGGCTTCCGTGCAAAAGCCCAGCCAGAAACTCTTGGTCCGGCAGCGATATTTTCCTTTGCAATACTGTACTTCCGTATTTTTGGGAACCGGAATTGGTTGAACTTGGAAAACATGCTAGGCTTGGGGAAGACTGGAGATGCATGCATGGTGTATGTTGGAACCTCTGCACAAGTTTCATTAGATTCGTTTGGTGCTAAATCATGCTAAATCATATATCATTCAGCCCAAAGCCTGCAGGCTTCAATGTCTAAGAATGCATCTGACATGTAAAGACGAATCGCAAAGCCAAGACACCCATCTTCAAGAACGTCTGGATGTGGGCCGGGGATTCTGGGCCACATTCCAGACCCAGAGTCCAGTAGTAGCGTGTTGAAGCAAGCCCAACACGAACTGTCAATCTGTTTGTGCGAGGAAACCTTGCCAATCAACGCAACCTGCCTGTCCAACGTTGCTCCTCAAACCTGATAAATTCACCTCGCAACTGCCAATCTCAAGTGCATTTCGCGTGTTGTTTACTTGCGACAGCCTTTTCAAGGTGTTGTCATTATGTCATGACAGATGCGTTGGTTTCAATGAATTAGACTATATAGGTGCAACACCTTGCGAAGGTAAATGCGGTAATTTTCTTGCAGGTTGATCGCTCGCTCGCTCGCTCTCTTTATGTGCCTGAAATTTGATCAAACCTGTGACTTTGGAATGAGGCATGCTTCCAAGACGACCAGATTGAACAACTTAAAGAGCCCCATGAATAACTTTGAGTGGACATGCCTCAACTGACCGCAGGAGCTGGAAGACATGCACAATGGCCTGGAAAACAAAGCGAGAGTCGCTGCAGTGGAGTCTCGGAGAAACAATTTTTGAGCAGACCAGGATTTGGCAGTGTTGTTACTGCAATTTGTCCCTTGAGTTACTGTGGTTCTGCTGCGGTTTTATCAGTTTTCCCAGCACTTCGCAGTCCCTGTCGCACCCTGACGATGGGAGTTTTGAAGGGGGGTATAAAGCTGCAACGTGCCATAGTAGCTTCTTGTTACTACTAGTAAGGCACTTGTTACTACTAGCGTAGCACTTGTTTCTACTAGCGTGGCACTTCTTCCAAGGCACTGGAGGAACAGAAAAAGATTGTAGCTGAGAAGAGCGAGACGGCTGAAACCTTGGAGAGTTGTCACAACGATGTGCTGAAGGCATCAGGCCATCGCTATTAGGTTGGAGGCCATCACTATTGGGTTGGAGGCCAGCGCTCTTAGGGTGGAGGCCATCGCTATTAGGTTAACGTTTTCTTCTTTTGGCTCATTTGGTTGGTCACCAGGTGAGAGGACTTCTTGCTCGAGTCCATGAACTTGAGGCCAGGGGAGACAAACCTGATTCCTGAATTGAAAAGAATGCCTTTGGCTTCCTGGTCCAAGGATGAAGCTCCAATCGCTTTTCACCTGTATCTTCCCGAATCTTTTCTGGCAAGTTGTAGGACTACGATGTTTGACTTTAGCCCTGCCCAAGCGCGCATGCAGATACCACCCAAATCTGTGCCACCAAGAAAACCATCCCAGCTCGGTCAACACAACCTGCACGTTCAAGATCATCCAAACTTAGGACACAGACGATTGATTGAGCCTGGCAAGGCCCATGAAGGGGATGTTCATCGAAAGAAGGCTGCGGCAGTCTGCCCACTTAGATTTGTCTGACTGTACTTGATCTTGTGACACGTTCATTCTCTGTTCTCCCTGCTAGAAGCAGGATGGTCCAGATCTTGCACGCCTCTTTGTTCAAACTAAGGAGCGAAAGGCCGTCGTGCTAGAGCGAGAGATAGAGGAGCATGTAGAGGTGCGGAACCGACCAAGATGTCCCTTGTGCAGATATTTTTTTTTACGCCAGGGTCATTTCCCAGACTTATATAATCTTATATATGTTTCTTGCAATTTGTGTAATGACCCGAATCCACTGCTTTTTCAACCTTTGATTGGTCGTGTACAAAAGTGCTTGGAAGATGTTTGAATGCCCCACACATGGCACAGTCTTCAGGACATCAAAAGAATGGAGTCTAAATACCATGAAGGTGCGCGGAGCTTGGTGCAGACACTTCCATGAATGGACACATGTGGAAACGCATCTAAGTCGTGCAAACCATCTTGGGCAGCCTACTGAGCGTCATAAGCGGCCGGGCGGCTGGTGATTCTCCGCTTCCTGAGGTTGAAACCACCATGATCTTGGAAAAGCGGTGCAAAGAGGAGGAGGCTGTACTATGGGAACGTACCCAGCTTCCGGCTCAAAATTCAAACGCAAAAAAAGGATGAGACGTGATTGCCAAACACTCAACAGACATGCTGCATGTTTGTCAAAGGCCTTAGGTCCTAGGTCTTGGCCTCGACTACTACTTGAAAAGATGCTTTTTGTCTGCACGAATTCGTTCACAAGGCATGTCGGATGTCTTTTTTCCTCAGGGTACATTTGACTCTGTTTGGGAAGTCTGTGAACCAAAACCTCCACGAGCCAGGAACAAGATGCACTCTTCTTGAATGCAGACTTCAAATCTGCAGATGAGCGTTATGAGATATTTTGAGCGTTAATATCAACAGAGGAGAAGATCAACTTTGTAGGCGGAAACATTCATTGAACCTCAACGGCCTCTTCCTTTAAAGTAAAAAGCTCTACATGCAGCGTCACCAATTCCCCAAGGGCTCTTCAATTCCCGAAGGTTTCATGGTTTGCTTTTTCAAGATCCCTTACAGCTCCATGGTTCGCCACTGCGATGGAAGGCGAAATTGCAGGAGGAAAGATTGAAGGTAGTATCTCTGACCGAACAGCTGGCAGTGTGGAGCTCAAAGTCACAGAGCACAGCAAAACAGGAAAGTTGTGACACTCAAAGTACTTCAATCTCCTACAGACCCTGGAAAAAGAGAACGGGACGAACTGTATTGGTTTTGGGTCTCCCCATTTCAAGGCCCAAACAGGTTCGTCAGATTGAAGAGGCTCGTCAGACTCGACTGCATGATTTGCCTAGGAAGAGAAGCATTGGACCGCCCAACTGAAGCAAGACCTGGCCAAAGCCCATGCAGAGTCCGGGCCCCAGCACTGACTTCTCACTGTATATCAATTGGCGGCATATGTCGGCATATATGGATGTGACTGGAAAACCCTCCACTGGTGAACCCCACTTCTCGTTCCCTTACAGCAGGATAGGCCGGAGCTACAAAACTGATGAACAGCGCATAGCATACACTCAATCTCTCATTCACATAACATTGTATCACTGTGTTTCTGACACCTGCTTGTGGAAGAAGAGAATGAACCAAAACCCAGTGGTTGGCAACTGCAAGCCTACAGGATCGAGGGTATCACGGAGGAGAAGACCCACCTCTTCAAAGAGAATAAGCTCTGCCCTTGGGAATGTGCCATTGTGAGAGAGGGAGTAGAGATCAGCATCAAGCAAAGCATTCAGACCGGTTGCGCGCAAGTCTCAATGCCCGAAGAGGCCTGAACCTAGATGATTTTGTTGATTGAAAGCAACCATGAACACCACAAATGGCTCAAGTAGATTTGAAGCAACAAAAGCTTTTCATGGCTTTCCAAGGAGTTTAGACAAGAAGGGCATCATGGAAGGGAAGCGTGCGAGAGAGGCTGAAAGCGAGGCCTTTTGACTGAACCGTTTAGTGTCGCGTTGGATTTTGGGAGTGTGCAGTCAGTCAAGAAGTCATTCACGCATTATGTTTGTTTTGATTGGTCAGTAGAGATTGGTGCCCGATTCCTGGCTATATATATATATATAAGTTCTGATCCGTGTCCATGCCTAGATACCTTGCGCGCTTTGAGAGATATAGACAGAGAGAGAGAGGGTGCATCTCGTTTTGTGGCTTCAACCGCAAGATATTGCCCACATTTATAGATTCTAATTTTATCATCCATTTACTCCGCAGCCGTCGGAACAGGCAAAGAAGGTCAGAGAGATGTTGGCGGATTCTTCGTCCCTTGGTCTTGGTGAAGGGAACCCCGCGGAGACGGCTGTAGAATACCATTCTTTTCTGTCCGGGTCCTTTGATTCATCGTCATAGGTGTTTTCAGATGAGAGTAAGCAGCAAGTCGCCAGACTGAGGATTTCGCGTAGCCTCCCAAAGTGCATTTCTGAGGCATTCATTGGTGACGACAACGCACGAACTTGGTGCCAGGGCCCCACGGGATTCTGCTGCCAGCTGCAATTCTTCGAGCAGACAACATGTGAGCTCAGTGTATGAGAAGATCTTGAATTTTGCCTTTATCCCTGCACACCCGAAGTGTTGGGATCTTCAGATACTTGCGTACTTGCACCAGTCTCCTTAGCGGTCTTCTAAAGGAGGGATTAGTCAGGTTTACTTTGAGCTCAGGACGAGAAGAAAAAGGTCAACGATCTGGAAGGAAGGCCTCGAAAACAACGGATACCAATGATGCCAGCTTTCCACTTTCCAGGCTTAGTTCTTTTCGACACATTTCGACTTTATAAAACTACAGTATGACTGTATTGCATCATATGCCATTTCCTTTGTAGGTCCTGACCCTGTGTTCACGGCCTTAACATCCTTTGTCGCAAACGGAAGGCTCGAAGATACTCGTGGCACTGTCAAGGAATATCAGGACACTGGGATTGTGATTTTGGAAATTCATTTCCTCCAAGGACAATGCCACGGCAACTTGTCAGCCTCAAGCAACTCTTCTTTTTTCAAGGAATTGGCGGCCGTCCGGAAGAACATCGTTGAACGCTTGGAGAAGGACCGGCCAATTGGGAGAATGGCCTTACACAATAACCTTCTTTTTTGTCATTGCCGCCAGGAAGTCTACGACCTGAAAGAGCAACTCAAAGACGCCGAGGCCTCCAATGTACATACCCATTTGATGGGTTTCTTCTGGAGAAGGAGTGGTTGGAGCTGTTTGGTGCCAGATGATTGTATGAGGAGCTGCTCTGATTCAATCATATCCATCAAATGTTCATCTTTGTAACATGAGAATCCTGCTATGATACGAAATCATTGGAAGCTTCCGACCTCGACCATGCCGTGATGGCAAAGCCTGCGCCGTGAGGTGAGGGAGTTGTCCCTTTCCAGACAGCTCAAGAAGACGCAGGCCGGCAGAAGCTGAGACGATCAAACGATCAACACACCTAGTTACTAAGAAGCTTCAAAGACCTAAAAAGCTTTATTGTTACTAGTAGCAATGGCCTCCACCCTAATCGATGGCCTCGAACCTAGTAGCTTCTATCCTCCGAAGTTTGACCTATCAAAAGCTGAGTCAAAACATGCCTATTCTTCCCTAGCTTTCAGGCTTCGCTTTTAGAGTCGGTGGACCGCGAGAAGGCACTGGGAGAATGTGTTTGATCGTCATCAAGCACCTGTCAACTGCCGTGCGCTACAATGAACATGCATGTTTTTGTTTTTATTGAACTTGCAGCTTTGAAACCTTCAATAAGCCTTTCCTTTTCATGCCCCTCTTGTTGACTTGCTTGTCTCCCATGGGAGGTGATTTCCTTAATGCCTCGAACAAGTTGAAACGTGCTGCTTCACTAAAAATCCAATCGACTAACAATCTGTCCTATTCTTCCCTATTCTTCCCTATTCTTCCCTCATGGTGATCAATAGCTTTTCCATTTTCTGCGAAGGAAGCAGGCGCTGAGACTGTGCGAGTGGTCAGCTCGCTAGAGACTTGGGCAAATTCCAGTGATCTCATCCACTGCTGAAAGAAGGACCGGTGATCCACATCTTGAAACGTCACATCTCATCACCCTGAAATTGAGGCATCACCCCAACCGCAGCCTAATCTTCAGGCATCCTGACCAGGTCCAGACTTCTAGGACAAAACACCTTCGTTTCCATAACTTAAAACTTTTGTTGACATCGTGCGCGTTGCGGTATCCATGTAAGCACTTCATAGCATCCTAAAAGTCACGCAGCGTTATGGCTCCAGGTAGTACTGTTACATACTGTTACTGTTTCCATATTGATTTGAGCCACACACGCACACAGACATGAGAAACACCCACACCCACACGCGCACGTGCTTCGACTCAACATTTTACACGGCGCGCTTCAGTGGACTAGCCATCCTTTCAAGATTTGAGCCGCGGTCCATCTCGCAAGTTCTTTAGAGCCATGTCACCAGATCCTCAGAAGACTTTCAAGGCCAATGGTCGCTGAAGCTTCCCCAACGGGATTTGCATGCCATGTTGCAAGGCTTCCCCTCCAGAATTTAGAGCAACGTGAAGTGAATTCCGTGTTTTCATGTTGAAGATCGTTGAAGCATGTCGAACCTAATCTTTTTGCTGATGCTTAGCATACCGATACCCTGCTTGTGCTGAGGTCTTCAGTGGCTATGGAGTCTTCTTGAACGAAGCCTGGCCAAAGGCCGTGCTGAGCGCGCCGCCCGGCACCACAGAAGCGGACCTGCTGGGGAAGTTGAAGACTTCCTGGGATCGGATGACAGGCGCGCTTTCGCGGGCGGAAGCGAAGAAACCTTCGCCGATTCTTGCCAAATATCACATGACATCACTTGGATACGTTCAGCAGCGTCTTGAGATGAAGAATCCTGCAGGCTCACCTCAGATCATTTGACTTCTACTGTAACAATCATGAAAAGGATTTAAAAGGCATGACGGCGGAGGCCATCGCTACTAGGGTGGAGGCCATCGCTACTAGTAGCAAGAATGCTACTAGTAACAAGAAGCTACTAGTGGCAAAGGGCATCGCTACTAGGAGCAAGGACACTACTAGGGGCTACTGGCCTGACTACTAGTAACAAGAAGCTACTAGGGTGGATGTAAACTGATGGAGTCCAACCTCAGCAGCTTCGAGGTGCCCAAAAGCAGGCCTATCAGAGCCGGGTGCCCTCGGGGATGCCCACGACCTTGTCCTCCCGGGGCGAACCGGTGGAGGTTCCTTACAATGAGACACTCCCGGATGAGGAAGAAGCTTCAGATTCGGACTCTTGGATTTCTATAGATTTGGGGTCCTTAGAGGCCCTAGAGAAAGGATTTTTGACTTGTTGGACATCTTGATGCTAGTCTACTATGGTTTACTTTTGTATCAAAGCTGTGGACCAACCTAGTAGACTTTCTTCTTGTCATTACGTGTGGGAGCCCTTTTTCCTTCTTGGTCCAAGTCTCAGTCTTCTAGACGCCTGGGTGCTGTTCTGCTGTGTGCTCTTTAGGACTCGGACTATGAAGAGGTGCGCCCAGTCCCCCTCTTGGAGCGGGATGGCCCATTGAGGGATGCCTCTGGAAAGCTTCGCCAAGGTGGCTATTTGGGAAGGACCCGACATTTGGACCTTGGTTCTGACTGGACACCAGGAGAGTTGAGCGAGTAAAAAGAGCGCAGCGCTGCTCCTGGCTTGGGCCATTCTTCTGAGATTGTCTATGCCTTCCCCATGCTATCCTGGCTTGGATGCTACACCCCCACATTCAGCCCTGAAAAAAACAGGGGAGATGACAACTCTGTAACATAAATTTGATGAGGCTGACTCTGTAGCGTAAGCTCTTGAGCATTCGCTTGTCCGAGGCTTGACATGTCCCAGCGTGAATTCCAGAGCCTTCAGGGCGAGGCAGTGGATCACAGTCCACCCACTCCTCGGTGTGTCAAGATAGACAACGCAAAGACAGTCCTAGCTGTGTCGCACTCCTTGCCCACTTTATAGATTAATATAGATTAATGAAGGGCAGGTGTTTGATCGGAAATGTTTGGGTGGGCATCTTCGGCATTCTTTTGATTGAATTCTTTTGAAAAACCTGTTCCTAAGCTTCAAGCCTCTGCTACAAAAGGATCAAACGGCAACCGAATTGTTCGATGTTTAGCTGATGCACCTTCAAAGAAACTACCAGTCTACCTCCGCAGGTGGGAGGTCTCGAGCTCTCCATCGAAGACTTAAAGGGACGCCTTGAAGATGCCAAGGCGAGGTTGAGCGAGCTTTTTCACAGCATTTGGCAGGTCTATACAGGCAGGTCTATGCAAGCCTCACCAGCTGACTTATTGACTAGCATTCTTTCAAGCAATCTCACAAGTGAACGGTGCCAGAGCTTCAATCCGGCCGTCTCTCTTCTACAAGTGATTTTTCACCTTTGGGTGAGAAATGAATCGATTCTGTTCTCACCAACTTTCCACTGTGTCTTGAATGAATGAAGATAAGGGAACGGGCATGTCCTGCATATAACATTCTCCCTCAGGAGGATGCTCGTGCCTACAGAAAGAGAACCTTTGACCTCGAGGATGACTTGAAGCCTTGCGCCCAGCAACACCACGATACAGGATTTTTAGAGGTTACTGTGAGCGTAGACAAAAGTAATTCTTGACATGCATGAGGATCTCGCATTGTTACATGTTGAACCATTTTCCAACTCTCCAGACATGACAGTTTTAGTTTCTTCAGCGCTGTTGAGGAAGGAAAATCACCGTGCTGCAGAGTCTGAAGAAAGAGAGTACCATTTGAAGGTGGAGTGCAAGAGGCTGTTGAGATTCTTGAATCGTACACGGAGGTCGTCAAGTTTACCTATATTATAGGATCCATGGAACAAATATAGTTGACATGCACTCACACAAGCACCGCACTGAAACCTTAAAGTCTTTTCACAGGGGTCTTGTTGAACGATGAACTCAGAAAACGGATTGATCCCACATGTAGAAGGGTGTCCTTTGATTTCGTCTTCAGTGTGATTCCGCCGCAGTCTGAAGCAGAAGCTTGCAAAGGAAGAGGACTGCCAATTCAATTCTGACATGTCTTAGAATATATCCTTCTCTCAATCTTTGGAGGATGTCATTGCAGACCTCTCTGAGAAGGTTGGATTGAGTTGGGAGCAAGGTCGTTCTCCAATGCAACTTCATGCCTTGAAAGCAACATGTAAAACCCAGGATACTCTGCTTTTTTTTTTTTAAATGTGAATGATACACAAGCAGCTTGCAGAAACACTGCAATAGAACTCTGGCATTCTGTTGATGACTGAATTGATTGCCATTATAATATGGAGAGGATGTACTCATCTTTTTGCCAGGTGGAGTTGATGAATGCTCAACTGCTTAAGAGCCAAGCAATGTGCGCCCCAGGTGACGTAGAATGCCCTTTCTCCGGAAGTATGGAACGTCGAAATGGTAGTGCCTGGTTGGGGGATTGTTGAAGGCTGGCAAACTATTTATGTCCTAGAGCAAGCTTTCGGGCTTTGATAAAGTTTGCTAAAAACTGTTTTCTTGTTGAACAACTTTGCATGTATGTTCTGAATCTGAGCGACTTCTACGTTCAGCAACAGCTACTTTCAGCAACTGGGTAGGTATGCCGAAGTGAAGAGCAAAGAAGCATCATTGTTCGCGCAGATTGAGAAGTCATTGGGCTCAGCTACCTTGCAGACACAGCGCAATTTTTGGACTGTATACCCTTGCCTGAATCCGCCCTTTGCAAAACGCTGAGGTACAAAGAGAAGCACCAGGCTGGAGCAGCAGGGTGAGCCATGAAGTGTTGCCTTCATGACTTTCCAGAGCGAACAAGTGTTCACTCGACTTCTTGGGGTAGCATCATGGAAAAGCTCCTTGATTGTTGCTGCCAACACTGATGCTTGATGCGTATCGTATCTGAAATCCTACCAGCTGGCAAACGCAGGAAGTGTGAATAGTAAGTCCATGGATGTCCATGGTTTTCAAAAAGACCTGCGACTTTTGTGTCAGGATGCAGTTGAGCGAGGAGATGTGCTTGAAAAGAGTTGGGGACCTTGGCCCCGAAGATGAAAACTAGTAGCGATGCACCTTGTTCCTAGTAGCTTCTTGTTACTAGTAGTAATGCCCTTGTTACTAATTAGCGATGCCCTTAATAGTTATTTTTCATCGATCTCATTTGCCCTCTCAAGCCGAGTGATGCAGGTTTGGCACATGTGGAAGACGAAGTAGAGGAGCTGCCCTCAGTTTGTGAGGTTGGACGAGATTCATACGGCCACTGACACGGTCAGGGAGCTGGCAATCCAGAAGAATCGTTTCCTGAAACATTTTTGTGGTACTTAGAATTAAGAAATACCTACTGTGTGCCAAACTAAACAAAAAACGGCTATAAGAAACGCTTGGTTGTGAATTCTGACTGTTCACGAAAGCTAGCACCAGCTAGCTGGAGTTGTTCTTGCTTTAGCAAGTGAGGGGCTGGAATCCTCGAGAGCGCCGCATCGCGTGAAAACTTCATATGTAGGGCCCCCCCCCGCGGGTTCAACTCCTCCCTGGGACGTCTCTGGGACGTGTGTATTTCCGCTGGCAGGGGGCTGACTGTTTCTGTGGTGGCAGGATTTGGACCCCTTTCTCGGTCGGATATCCCCCGCTTCACCCCAGCCCTGCTAGCTTTCGTCACCAACCTCGGCCTCAAGTCTTTTGTGTGCAATTTCATTCACGGGCATAGCCTTGATCATAGTTTGTGCGCTTGGTGTTGTTTTCACCAAACGAACTACAACCGGTCCGTCCAGCCTTTATCAGAATCCGACCTCACCTACAGGTGGCCACAGCATCCACAGCTCAGGTCGACAAAATCTCAACACATTCAGAGCCCACCAGCGCCCACTCTGATCCTTCCAACGGCCACTCCCGGCCCCTTCGATCCCTTCCGTCCAACACTATTTATGAACTGATTGCTTGTGCCCTGCCTTGGAGCCAGGTCGCATTTCACATCAAGATTGCTGCAGTGCTGCAGTCACGAAACAAGTTTTCTTAATGATTTCCGTGAATCAACAATATTGTTGCCTATCATCGCACCAACTCCCGGCTGCATGCCCACTACAACCAAATCCTACGTTGTCGATTCCTCAACTACGTATAGTATCCCATCGAACCTGACCACAGGTATGCTGTTCGTTGCCTATCTCATGTTCAGGCCCATTTGTACCGCCTTGACTTCACAGAGGGGTTCAATGCATCAGCGCTCCACCATCGCGAGGGTTTGCTACATTTGTGAGGGTTTGATCGGCTGGTGGCATTAACTTTCTCTTTTTTGTTTGGTTTTGTACGTTTTTCTGTTCAAAGACGTTGAGAAAGGACAGTTTGTTTCTGTATTTTTTGTGTTGTTCCGTGGGAAGAAACGATCTCCAAGGTCTACAAAGGGCAAACGGGAGTCTTGCGACTTGGCTCGGAATAGCAATCCACCGGTGGTTGGAGGGTGGACAGGGTTGACCGTGAGCAGGTCGGAGAAGGTCGGAGCAGGTTTGTTCTGGGTTGCGTTTGTTTGTTCTGGGTCTCCGAAAAAGAGCCATCCTTCAGAATGTTCGGAGAGCACTGACTTGATGCAAACAACCACTGTCAGGCGAGAAGAGATTCATGACAAGAAGCAGAAGTCCGGGCCCGAGGTCATGGAAGCTATCAAACAACGTGGTGGCTTGATTGGTCTGGATGTTTATATTATACACAAGTTCTTTTGTACCTCATCCAGTTTCTCTTGCACAGTCTAGGCTCAGAGTTGAAAAGAAAAACCTTGCGATGACCGTGCTGGCCTTGAACAACTGTGTCATGCTGGAGTTAAACATATCATAAGACGATTCTTTGTTGGCAACGTGTTTGGCCATCGATGCCGAAGTCGAGTCTTTGTCAAGAAAATACATGTACTGTAATTTCGCTGTAGGACCACAACGATCAGAATCCGCAACAGTTGTAGTACAAATCAATAGAATTGCATGCCCTTGGTCATTTTTGGCTCCAGTTTGCAGTTTGCGGTTTCACGTTCAACCAAAGCAAGATGGGGCTAGACCAGGCCAAGAGTCTCTTTGATACCTTCAAGGCCGCCTTCACAGCAGAGCCCTGTGATTTGGCCAAGTGCGAGGAGCTCCTTGGTCAATTGAAACTGCTCTTGTTCTCAGGGTCGGCCGTCTTGTCAGGAACTGGGAGCAAACAGGAGCAACTTCTTGTTCGAGAAACGCTTGAGCACGCTTGCTTTCTTTCAATTCGCAGACGGGATCTCCCAGCTTTCGAGAGGCATGTGTCCCAGTTGAAGATGTTCTACGACAGGCAGCAAGACCTGCCACCTTCGGAGCAGAAGTATCCAATCCTAGGGCTGTCACTTCTGAATTTGCTGGCCTCCGACCGCATTGGGGAGTTCCACACTGAGTTGGAACTGATACCTGTGGACGAGGCTGAGAATATGTATATCAAGCAGCCTGTCCAGTTGGAGCGCTATGTCATGGAGGGCAACTATGCCAAGGTGCTGGAAGGCCAAAAGGACGTCCCCAAGATGTACTATGCCTTCCTGATGGAGAAGTTGATTGAGTGTGTGAGGCACAAGGTCGGAGCATCGCTAGAGCGATCCTATGAGAACCTGCCGGCTCAGCAGGCAGCACAGATGTTGATCTTGGCAGATGTACCGGCTTTGCAGGAGTATGCGATCAAGGAGAATGAGCGCAAAGCTCGAAGTGAAAATGATGACCCAATGGGCGATTTTACACCTTCCTTGACCCGGAGAGCTCCTGTCGGCCTCGTGAAGTGGGAGGTGAAAGATGGGCGACTCCATTTCATTCGCTCTGAGCAGAAGAGGATGGAAGTACCTGCAGTAGACTTGATGGTGAACACCATTGGCTATGCAACGGACTTGGAGCGCATCGTCTGAGGGCCGGAGCTGATGCTGATATGCCTCTGCATCAGGGCCATCTTTGGCTTCGCAATGACACCTGAGCAGTTCTATAGATGAAAAGCAGAATGCCGTGGAGGTTGTGCGATGTGTAGGCTTGTGCAGTCAAACCAAAGACACGTGTGCCTTCAACTCAGCCCCAGCTCATTGAAACTAAGGCGACTGATTTGGACAGTCTCAAGGACTGAGACAGCTATTATGGCTTTGACTACTTGCAACATCTTGCAAGGAGTTTAAGTATTTTGCTTTAAACTTGTTTTTGTCAAGGGGCTTGCAGCGTGCGACTGTGCATGCAGTCACACAATCATATACATGATTATACACGTATACACATGAAACAAGGAAAGGCAAGAGAGGTGCGATAAAGTTTGGGGCACTTTGAACCTGTCGTATCATCAATCAAGCACAGACTTCACCTCACAGAGAGGAGTCGCTTGGGAACATGGCCAGCGATTTGTCCAAGTTTGGTGCCCCGAGGTTGTGCTATGCCAACTCTGTTTGTACTACTTGTAAACCTAGGAGCAGTAAAGACACCTTTGAATAACATCCGAGATGCACTGCTCAAAGGAATGCTTTTGGCCTGTAGCAATGCAGTTCTACAATGCATACAAAAGTCAACCAAATTCCAAAGCAAAGCCGCACCTATTACTGTGCTCAAATACATTCAAATAGGTGATTCTAAAGTCCCGTGGTAGGGCAAAACGCCCGACAAACCATATATATATATATATTAGGTTGGAGGCCATCGCTATTAGGTTCCGTTTCGCCTCCACAGCGAGTTGAGGTCCAAAAAGCTCCACAGCGAGGCGGCGCTGCGAGTGGAGGTCCTGGAGAAGGCGAGGCCGCGAGGCATATATTTAATCGATATCCATGTATATATATATATATGTATAGTCATATATATATAGACATATATAATATATGTATGTAAAACATGTAGTAATTATATATACATATATGAGAGGGGCCTGTTGTGGGCGGCAGAAAATTGAGACAAATGTGATTGTTTTTTGCAAATCCTAAATCACATGAAGCCAGGTATGAACAGATTGCACTTTTAAGCACATACTGTTTCAGGAAAAATACGAACCACAATTAGAAACATAGAGCTGGACATGGGAATAAAGAAAATGTGAATGTGGTGCCACCACATGGATGACGGTCGAACTTGTCGCATGAGCATGTTTGAGAGAAGTCCGCAATCGCCGACTTTGGGCACGAACCGCCCCTTTTACTGTTTTCTACCGCCACCCAGAGCGGTGGGACTGTGCACACCGAGCCATGGCAACGCCAGCGCGAAAAGAGCGCGCTTAGCTTTTGAAAGCTTCCGTTCAGTTCGAGTTCGTGTACTTCGTGAGACACAAACCCTGGTTGAGCTACCCAACCTCAAATTGGTAGCGGAGCCGCAAGGCTCAGGGCTCCGCTGCTGTTGCTACATCACGGCCGAGCGCGATGGCATCCTCATCCGCTGCATCGTCCAGCGTGGACGCGAGCAAAGATTCCTGGGTTCCGACCTTCTCGAATCGACCTCAGGACTACAGGGAATGGAGAGCAAGGATTCACCTCTACCAGAAGAAGATGGTGCTGCAAAAGAAGCCACAAGAAGGGGTCATAAACCTTTTGACCACCCTTTCAGCTTGGGACAGCCTGGAAGCAAGTGGAGCCGATCGCCGAATCGGCCAGCGAAGACAAGGACGGCGGATTCACCAAGGTGATTGAGATCCTCGACAAAGACCTTCCGCTACGATGCAAGAGTGGAACAACCAAGGAGCTTCGAAAAGTTCTTCTACAGCATCAGCAGGCGGTACAACCAAACCCTGATGTCGTATTGCGCTGAACATCGAGAAGCCCTTCGTGAAGTGGAAAAACATGGAGTCAAACTCTCACCAGAGATCACGGGCTGGTTGATGCTCAGAAGAAGTGGTCTATCTCAGGACCAAAAACACCTGGTGCAAAGTCGATGTGGCACCAGCCTGGAGGAGAGCAAAGTTGAAGAGGCCATGTACTACCTGTACGGTCAGGACTATCGTGGGAAAGTGGGGTACTCACAACGCCCTACTGGTGGAAAAGGAAAAGGAGCCAACAAGTGGCGAAAACCAGCGCAGGCCTACACCCTGCATGACGCCACCTACTTCCCTGAGGAGACCTACGACCATGAGAATGAAGAGGTTCTCTATGAGGAGACCTACGATGAATTTGATGACGAGGCCTACGATGAAGAGGCCGATGAAGAGTCAGCTCTGTACACTGGCTATGAAGAAGACTACCCAGATCAAGAAGATCCTGAGTACGAGGAAGCCTATGCCACCTACCTGGACGCCAGAAGACGTTTCGCTGAATTGCGGAACAACAGAGGCTTCTTCCCCGTCGTTGCACTGACGGAGAACTCATCCACACCGACGTCATCGACCCAAAGGCCAATTCCGCCTCGAGCCAAAGGAAAAGGGGGAAAAGGAAAAAGCTCCAGATCACCGCATGCAAAGAGCAGAGGCAAGTCAGCTCTGCAGAACAAGACATGTTTGCGTTGTGGCCAACCCGGACACTTTGCAGCTCAATGCACTCAGAAGAGGAGTCCAACCTCAAGCCCTACCAATTCCGCCAAAAAGGCCAAAGCCGAGACAGCGATGATGGTCCATTTCGAAATGAAGGACTACCAAAGCATCCCTAAGGGACTCTTCGGCACCGTGGATGGAGGGGCAAGCTGCATGGTCATCGGCCATGACATCCTGATGAACTACATTGAGAACTACCACGAACAAGGTTTTGACACCTCAAGCTTCCACTTCCGGCCAGCCGAAAAGACTCTGCAGTTCGGCGGCGACAAGAGCATGGAAGCCCAGTGGACCGTCCACATGCCAGTGTGCATCCAAGGCCACCTCGGCCGCGCCCAGGCATTGATCGGCAGGCCTATCCTCAAGGCCATGAAGCTACAACTGAACTTCACCGAAGACACCATGAGGTTCGACAACGGACCATGGACACCGATCGTAACCGGCTCCAGAGGAGAACACCTCCTCCAGCTCGACCAAGGTCTACAAGACCTTCCAGACCACAACAGCTATGAGTTCGACTACATGATGGAAGAGACCTACGCACAGCTCACACAAGAGCCAACAAGAGCAGAACACTACACCTTGGCACACTACATCGAGCTCACAGGCCTTACTGCTCCCAACCTGGGAGAACAGGCTATGCTGACGAGACAGAACATGATGAAGACAGCAACGACACCACAGACCCCGATGATGATGAAGACACCGGCTACCGCCGATCACTCACGGACAAACTTGTCCGCAGCTTCCGATTGCGCCAGCAACAACTCACAAGGCAGTACGAGCAGACAGTGGACACTGCACTCACAGCACACGACAACCACCAGATGCAATTCTGGGAGATCTACGCTGGAGACGCAGTCCTTGCCACCCACATGGAAGAACTCGGATTCCAGGTCCGCACTTTTGACCTGTTGAGCGGCTGGGATTTCACAAAGCCCAGTCACCAAAGAGAGTTCATCCACCTGTACTACCACTCCAGCCCTGAGATCATTTGGATTGCACCACCTTGCACCAAATGGTCACCACTGCAGCGCCTGAACGCCAGAACACCGGCTGACAAGCAGCGCCTAGACGCACAGCAACAGCATGAAGAGGGGACCCACTTGCGGTTCAGCAAGACAATCCACAACAAGCAATACAAGCAACATCGACTATCCATCTTTGAACACCCCAGGAATGCAACATCCTGGAACACACCTACACTACAACAGCTAGAGGGATTTGACGCACATGTCGACCAATGCCAATATGGAGCAACATTGCCAGACTCCTACGGCAACAAGCAATACATCAAGAAGCCTACCAACCTCCGTGTCACAGACACCGCCCTGGCTTCGATGCTCGAGAGAGTCTGCGCCGACAACCGCTACCACTTGCCCATTGAAGGAAGTTCACCATCCATTGGCAGTCGAGCAGCAGCAGCAGGCAGCTACAACAGCGACATGTGTAGCGAATGGGCACAGATCATGTACGACTACATGCACAACTACTATTGGCCAACGCCCACCGAAGAAGCATTTCCGGCTGAACATGATGTACTACAACCAGAAGGTCAAGCACTGGTACCACAACAAGCAGCAGCAGAACAACCACAGCCTCCCGTCTATGACGATGAAGAACAGCTGGACAACAACAGAGGCATACTGACAAGACTGCAAGAGACACAATGGTCAGCAGCACAGCGAACAGTACAACGGATCCACAGGAACCTCGGACATCCCACAAACTTGGAACTGGCAAGACTTCTCAAGAGCAAGAACGCCAGTCCGGCGATCATAGCTGCAGCGCAAGAACACCGATGCCAACTCTGCGAAGCACATTGACCACCACCACAAGTGTCCAAGAGCACCCTCCGCACGGGAGGAAGCTTCAACAGCAGAGTACAAGCAGACACAGTTTGGGTACAACTCCCAAAACACCGCGGCAAGCACCGGCCACCTGCCGTTCCAGTTCTCAGCATGATCGACACGACCACCAAGTTCATGTCAGCCCGAGTCATTGACAGCGAACAGTCCGAAGAGTTCATCCGAGGGCTCGAGAGAGGCTGGGTCAGACACTTTGGCCCCCCAACCATCCTGCAGATTGACGATCACCGGGGATGGAGCTCAGACACCACAAGAACTTGGACAAGCGATCACGGCGTTCAACTGGAAATCTCTCCAGGACAAGCACGCACCAGACTAAGCATAGTCGAGAGGAGACACCAAGTCCTCCGACGAGCTCTGGAGATCTTTGTAGCAGCACAACAACGAGATCCTGACAATGACAACACTGGCAGCGTCCGCGAGCAGATCATCCAGGCACTTTGCCATGTGATCCCCCAGATCAACAACACTCCCAATGTCCAAGGCTTCAGCCCCACACAATGGGCAATGGGCATGCGACCACGCATCCCCGGTGTCTTGATGGACCACGACCTGACACCAGCACAACTGACACCAAGCGAAGCAACGCAACAGAAGTTGAACTTGCAGAAACAAGCAGCCATTGCAGTGATAGAGGCAGACAACAGTGCAAGACTACGCCGAGCACTCCTGCGACAGCACCAGTCTGTACAATACACCTATTCCACTGGCCAACAGGTGTACTACTGGCGAGACGCACCCGGAGGAGCAGGACCCAAGATCCGATGGAAAGGACCAGCAACAGTCATCATGACTGAGCCAGGCCGCACCGGACCAGCCACAAACACCTACTGGATCACGCACGGCTCCACTCTGCTTCGAGTATCCGGAGAACACCTACGACCGGATCTTGGCCACCAAGATGACGCCGATCCGATGCTTCGAGCAAGTCAAGCACTGGACGCAATACGAGGAGTGAGTACAACTCTCTACCTAGACCTCATCAAGTCCAACAAGAGAAAACGAACAGAAGTGGTGACAGACGATGAAGATGACGCACAAGTCACACCAGCGACGGGCACCGAGACAACAACACCACCTGACGCACCAGCACCCCAGCCAGACTACTGAGATGTTGAAGAAGATGGCGTAACATGGCGCAGAATACATGTCCAACCACGACAGGCACTCTACACGCCCACCAATGACGACCGGGCACCCTGGCGACACTTCCAGGATATCCGTCGAAGGGTCACCCAACGACCACATCAACCAGCCAGGATTGGACACTGCCAAACGCCACAAGGGCTATGCCATTTCACTGGTTGGACAGGATCAACAACATTTGTCCTCAGAAGTGACAGATACACTACAGGTGGAACCAACCCAACAGTCATCACAAGCTCTGAACCACCACCAGGTGACGAGAACATGGCA